CCTTTTCTGACATGAAGCAGCTCTTTTGTTATTTTAGGTGTTTCATACACCATATTCACATCCAATTCCCTTAAACATTCTCCCTCATTGTTCACTACTAATGTTCCCACATTGTGAACCTCCATACTTCTTTCCTTGACCTCCTTTAGTCTTCTCCTATCTTTATTAAGAAGCACCAAGTCTCCATTTTGTGCACTAGAAGCTTGAGCGGTAGAAAGTACATTGTTTTTATCTTCACATCTAGGCACATTCTTTTTCTTATACCATATTTTCTCATGATACTCCTGTATAGACTCCTTCCTTTCAACATCAACAGGCTTCCCATTATTCTCAGCATCTACCATATTTGGTAAGTTAGCAAAGTGAGACCTTGTCTTTCCTTTCCCCCATAAGACCTTTGATCACCCTTAAACCCACCCTGGAAGGATCTACAGAAACCTCTGGTATACTGCACCTTAGACCATTCCCTAAACACATAATCCTCTTTTATTCTATCCGCCCCTTGTGCTTCCTTTTCCTTATTCATATCTGCAGCCTTTTCTTTACACTCCTTCTTCGTGTGTCCATACATGCCATAGCAAAAACACAATAGGTGTAAACCTTCATAAACAATTGGTCTCTCCTTCCCATCAATGATATACAAAGGTAATAAAGCCTTCCTTAAATCAATCTGGACCCTAACTCTCGCATGTCCCCCTTTGGACAAAGTAGAAGCAGACATATCTACCTTAATAGCCCTGCCAATCTCATTAACCATGGCTTCAAGGATATCTTCATCATAATATCCCAAAGGTAGATTAGGAAATCTAACCCATATTAACACTTCCTCAACTGCCTCCATCTTAGGATCGAAATTAGGCCTCCATTCTCTCACAGTAAGATAGCAATCAAAAATCATCCAAGGGCCCCCTAACAATGCTAGTTCATAATCCTTAATTGCAGTAAAATTAACCACAAAAAAACCATAAGATAGGTCCACAATAGTCACCACCTCGGATTTAGTCCACATCTTTTGAATTCTCTGTTCCATTCTACTAAGACCCAAGCTCTTGCCCAACAATATAACAATGCGGGTAAGCTTGTATGGTTTTTTGATTTTGTACAGAGCAGCATCGGAGAAGATAAACTCAGGAACTAGAAATCTACCTCTCGAGTGCTTCAGGACCTTGATATGCGACTTCATCGGTCCAAAATCCAAATCCTCCTCATCTCCCCTTCCACAATCATTACCAGAGGCTCTCGAACCAATCCCCTTATCATTTCGCCGAAAGATCTCTGCCTCATCTCTTCATTGCCATCATCTGGAGAACTCGCTTTGATCTTCTTACTACTTCGTTGGAGTAGATCTGTCTCCTCCATCGTCTTCTTCCCTACATCCCTGAGCTTAGGGAAATCCGCCAGAGAGAGAGAGCCATTGTTTCGTTATATATCTCACTCTTAATATTTTTGGGCTTTTTAAAAAATCTCTTTATTGTCATTTGCTTTTTCAATGTAGTCATTTTCTTTATGAGTATAGTAACTAATAGTGATTTGGAATTTTAAAACTCAACAATCATTTTTTTGGAATTTTTCCTATTTATAATGTGATAATTGTTAGAGAATACTTAAAATTAAAATTATAAAAGTAAAAATGGTTATTATTGAGAATGATTAAAATGAAAATAATATATTTAAATTTTACGAACCATGGGGGAAAAGTCCTCCTATTGAAAATATAATGAGTGAGAAGGATCTAAATCATAGTATAAGTATTACATATATGTATATATATAAAATTTGCATTTAGTATATAAAAATTTATCAATTACTTCTTACCAATTAAATTTTTAATATAAATATGATATTAAATAATAAGGAATAATAGATTTATTTTTCTTAAAAAAATTTCATTATTCAACTGAAAAAAAAGAATGATTTCACTAATCTTAAAGACGAACTCAAGGAGCCAAGGGAAAAAAAAAACGAACTGAAGGGATAAAGCATGGACCTCACCTTTCTAGACTATGTAGAAGCTAGAAGCAACAAGATAGAGCCTTGGGAGAAAAAAGCTACTCTTAGAGTATAAGCCGATTTTCTGCCACAGCCTATCCAAACATATATTTCAAGTATGAGATCTTTTTTTGGCCAAAAAAAAAGTATGAGATTATTTTTTTTTCCAACTTTCTAGTATGAAATTACTTTTTTTCAACTTTCTAGTGAAAAAGTTAGTTTGGGAGTTACTAGTGTAATCCCAACCACAAACAATTCATTGAACCACGTCTGGTTTATTCATAGACTCATGGTTATAGAACCATTGCTAAAGTGGGGGGAAAAAACTTTAGGGTTTGTTTGGATTTTCTTTTTTCAAGTGCTTATAATCATTTTTATGTAAGTTGAGATAAAACTCTCTTTACATACTTACCTCATATTACATAAATTATGACTGAAAAACTGTTTTTAAAAACTTTTACTACTACTCAAAACACACCCTTAGTCATAGTTCTTGTATTTGATTGAATGCCTTGTTTGCTTAGTAATTTTGATTTTTTTGTGTACTTGCCTTGTGTTTAGAATATTTATTAGCTTAATCACTATTCTCATGGTTGATTTTATACTATTCAAATAATCAAATTATGCATGTCAAAAAATTAATTAAAATTGGCTAAAGATAACCATAAATACTTTCTTTGTTTCACAATATAACTTACTTAAACCAATTCATTAAAATCAAAAAATGATATTTAATTCATTAAATCTATCTCAAATTAGATTTTTTTTAAAAGAAAAATAAAAGGGGTTACATTTAGCTTAAGGAAGTGTTTGGATGGAAGTCAAACCATAATTTTAAAAGGTTTATGAAATTAATATATAAGATGAGTTTTATCTTAATTTACGTGAAAGTATTTTTAAAAATACTTTTAGGACTAACCAAATACCCCTAAATATTAATTGATTGCATGAATAAAATTACTAAATAAATATTAATTACTCTCCAAATATTTTAGAGCAAAAGCAATTTATATTGTGCAGGGAATATTTTGATTAGCTTTTCTTTTTTGGGCCAACGTTCTGTTTTGATTAGCTAGGTAATTAGGTTGACTATTACTAGCTGAGAAATTTGTCTCTTCCTATTTCTGATAGTTGACCAATTTGACTGGATATGCCTATTATCTTCTTCGGCTAATTCTTTGGCACCATTTTTGATGTTTAATAGAAAATTTAATTGATTAATTTAAAAAATTTCAAGAAGTTACTAAATTACTTAATTATAACATATGTTACATGATATTTCTAAAATATTTGTACGTATCATCAAATTATGTCAACTTATACATGGCACAAATTAGTTTTAAAAAAACAATAAATATAGTAATTTAATAACTTTCTCAGTCTTCTCAAATTAGCCAATCAAATCATATACTACCTTCGGTCCTAATTATAAGAGCCAGTTGACTAATTTGAGAAGATTAACGAAGTAAATTGAGTTAGTTATTTGTCCTAAATAGGTGTTGCCTTTCCTAAAATATCCTTACTAATCAAATGTATTGACTAAACTATCATTATTAGAAAGGCCACTTTGAAAAAAATTTATAAATATGAGAGACAAAGTGGATTAGAGTCTTATATTTAAGACCAAAATAAAAATCTAACAGGATCTTATATTAAGAACATGAGATAGTACTAAGGATCGGATGCGGTAGTACATGATGTTGAATGTTGACCAGTGAAATGCGTTCTATTCTTCTTTTCACCAACTTTGATAAATGGATTAATGTAAAATAAATCTGGTCAATATATAATTTAAGGTAAAATGAATCAAATAAAAATCTAATCCGGTTCCACATAAATGAACACAACCTTTTTTTTTTTGGGCAAAAAACAGAAAAGCAACGCTTAAATTGATATATTATTTGAACACAACATTAAAACTCAACAGAAATTAACTACTTAATAAAATTAATGTTGCAGAAAATTTTAGAGAAAAAGAATTTAAACTCTTTTTCTTAATATGGTATGAGATTTGAACCTTTAATTTTTATAATTGTTTCATGCACCACTCTTACCACCTCTTTAACTTCTTTTATAATTTGTCATCACTCCATAAATGGGTACATGAATCTAGCTTGAAGAATCCCTTTCTTGTTAGGTTGTTTTGTATCTAAGAAAATTAATGTACGCATCACATTATCCAAGACAAAAAAAAATAATTGCAAATACTCCATAATAACTAGACATAAATTTCACACATAATTTTGAACATTGTGAGGCGCTAAGACTATGTTTGGATGAAATTTTTTTTCCTAATATTCCTTTCCTCTTAATTTCCTTCCATTTAAACATAGGGTAAATGTAGACACCTATCTAGTAAGGATTCTAAATGTTACAAAGGAATTACATTAAAAAAGTGTTATGAAATCTAATTAATGAGACTGTTTATAGTTTACCCTGTTTAATATGAATGAGAGATTGTGAGACATTTCTCCACCAATAACTCTAGATGTTATTAGTATCAAAGGAGCAGTATTAAATATATTTTCTTTAATGAGAGATAAATGCTTATGTCTTATTTGCATGCTGAAAACAAACAAGTGACAACATGAGCTTATTACTAATTTTTTATTGAGTCATTGACTAGTTATAAAATTGTTTAATACTTCTCCGGTCCTTAATATAAGACCTAATTATTGAATTGGTTTTGATTTTAAATATAAGACTTATTTTTCATATTTATCAATTTTCTCTAAATTACTATTATAAATACTCCTTCAACAATAATCAAATAGAAGAGGGAGAAGGGGTATTAAGAAAGATGATTATAGCATTTTAGAAAAAACGTGTCACATTTTTTATAATTAACTAACTTACCTAACTTTTTTAATTTAATTAAATCAATTAAATGAGTTTTATATTAAAGATCAGAGGCTAATTATTATTTTTTTGAGCACGCATTGATTTTTTTAATAAACAGACAAGACATGGGAGAATTCAGCCTATAAATGTGTGATCGTCGGGATTTGGTTCCATGAAGGCTGAACGGTCCTAAGACTCTGTGTCCCGCCATCGAGGCTCGTGCTTCTCTGATTCTCTCCCAGCTTCTTCCTTCGCTTACTCTCACAAACTACTTCAATGACTACCTTCCTGCTCACTTCCTTCACTTCACCATCTCTATGTCTTCTTCTTCGTTCTCGTTCTTCTGTTCCATTCAGTCCCATCCATTTGCAGGTGCTTCATTTCCATCCTGTAATTTCTCATCAATTCTTGTATTTCTGCATGTTAAACCCTAATTTCATCCGTCATTTGGTGTCAAATGTTGAGTTGAGGCCTTAAATATGAGCAGAGCTTCTATAAGGAATCAATGGGTTAATCTTGTAATTTTCTGTTTTATGCTTAGCAATTTTTACTGGTAGCTTTTTCCTGATTCTGCTTGATGTGTTTTTTTTAATGAAATTTAGGCTTCAGTGATGCGAAATTGGAAGGTTGGAGCATTTTCCTTCAATGGAAGTGAGAGGTAATATTGCAGTTTGCAGGCTAAGTTAGCTAACTCGGGCCAACTTTTGGATGCGTTCATTTGTTTTTGTGTGGCTGATTTGAATTTTAGTGGGTTTTCGTGTATGATTCTCATATCAATATTAACTTTGGATCACAATACAGGAGAAATTTGGTCTCTGCATTGGATCAAGATGGTCTGACTGATATTCTTAGCACTGCAGATTACAAGGTAAGAATGGTGGTTATTTCAATTTTATTCACCCTTACTTTCATGTTGTTCTTGGCCTTAGATTAGATTTGGTTGTAGACTCGATGGTTTGTTTAGCAGTTCCATTTTGGATCTTCTCAGCGCAGGAGTCATAAGTTTTAGACTTGTAATTTCTCTTCACTATGACATGCAATTTGCATGGCATGGTCTAGAGGGTCTATGATCTACGTTCAGGTTTTGTGGAAAAGGAATGAGGAAAGAGATTGCATGATTAAATCTGGCGGGAAGAATTGTTCAGTACTTTAAAGATTGCATGATTTAATCTATATGCAGTTTCCTGATATGTATATTTGATTGAATCTGGTGTCATATAAACGTCCATGAAGGAAAAAGTGCACCAGTGGGTTATTTCTAGTATTGAATTGTTTTTTTTATAGTATTGAAGCTTTATTTTCTTATAAATGAACTTGGAGCATTCATTTCAATCACTACATATCACTCGTCAATGGGTTGATTAAATTGTATTTGAATGTATATGCTGTTACTTAAGTCCTATCAAATTACTAAACTCTTACTCTCTTTATTAGGAGATAGTCAAAGATAGGGCAGCTGTATGTGAATATTTGCTTCAAGAAGTCAATGCACAAATGCGACAACTGAATCTGTTTTACTGATTTTCATGTGATCCGCAGCTTATTTCAATTCACTATATGCCATTAGTCACTGAATATATTGTATAATATGCATATTACCTTACGCTGTTGAGTAGTGTTGTGGAAATTATTACTGTATGACATAAAGACACGGCTTCATGAAATATTAGACATTTTGAAATTCCAAACTGGCTTCATTTGGGCATTCAACAGATTAGATTTCATCAAGGGAGATTTTTTAAAGAGTGAAGGGGGAGCTTCTTTGGCATCTTTTTCTTTTCTTCTATGGTTATTGTTTTCCTAAGTAGAGCTTTTACTCTAACGAATTTCCAGTTCAAGTATAATATCTCTAGCAATGCTTTTTAGATGCTGCTATGTGTGGTTTCCTGATTCTTTTTTGTATGAAGCATAAACTTTTCCCTTTGGATGCTTCATCTACATTGCAAAATGTGCGTTTAATACTAAATAATATTAATCTATCTTGCGTATAATGCGCAGGCTAAGGAAGTTGAAGATAAGGCAGAGCTTGAATCTCTGCTGCAAAACGGTAGTTGTATAAAAGAAGGTGAGTGCTTTTTCCTTTTGATCCGAGTTAATATATATCCTACAGGTTATATGAAATACATTAGAGGTTTTTTAGGCCTGGGAAATATATTAGAGGTTGAAGGGCATTTCTGTACCTTGATTTGAATTTCTCTTGGTTACAAGTTATGTCATTAATCTCAAAATTGTTATATGGCTGATAAATTGTAGCATGGTCTCAATTTGCGAAGAGAGTCTCTGGTGAATGGGACGGATTTGGAGCTGACTTCTCTAATGAAGGGAAGGCTATTGAATTACCAGAATTGGTAGTCCCTGAAGCATTCCGCGAGTGGGAGGTTAAGTTATTTGACTGGCAAACTCAGTGTCCCACTCTTGCTGAATCAGAGGAGAACATTCTTATATACAAGAACATCCTGTTGCTTCCTACTGTTGGTTGTGAGGCTGATGCGGCCACAAGATTCAAGGTGGATGAAAGGCAAGTGGGAGGAGTAAACGGTGGGGTTAGTGCCTTTGCTTATCAATCAAGTGGATGTTATGTTGCTGTCTGGCAGAAGGAGGATAAACTATTGGAGCTGGAATACTGCTTGATCAATCCTCAAGACCCTGAGTCGCGAGTGAGGATCATTCAGTTTGTCCGTGTGTTGGATAACACAAACATGGTGCTACAGAGCATCAAAGTATTTTGTGAGCAATGGTATGGACCATTTAGGAATGGTGAACAACTAGGAGGTTGCGCCATCCGTGATTCTGCATTCGCTTCTACCGCTCCCATGACTGCCTCACAAGTTGCTGGTAATTGGCATGGGTCCAAAGCTGTTGCTACCATTGGCACCTCAAATACTGTGAGTGCAAGGGTCTTCGCTTCTGCTTTTATTTTTCCGTGCCCGGATTTTCCGCTTTTATTTCTGGAAAATCTCCATTTGCATCTAAAAGGCCCCCCCCCCAAAAAAAAAGGCCGTTTCATTCAACTGGCCAAGTTGTCAAGTGAATCAGGCTAAAAAGTTGTCAGGTGAAATCTCTGGCATGCTTATCTGACTCCTGTTGAAACTTAATTTCAATTAAGGAATTTGGGCAAGCAAAGCAACTCTAGACTATTTGAACGTAGAGGATGTAATGTGCAGTCGAAGACCTCTTGACTAGCTTTATGATAATGTCTATCACTTTTACTGTCATGTCAGAGACAATTTGACCCAAGCTTTAGCTGTTAAGGCTCGTTCCCAGCTTTATTGTGATCTCTTTCACTTTTCTTATAATTTTAGGGGATCTTTCATGAGCTTTCGGGTGACAACATTCTGAACTGTGTCAGAGATGGAAGCAACGAGATATTACTTCCTAAACAATTGTGGTGTTCATTTAAGCGAAGCAAGGATGGTGAAGCTCTTAGTGAAGTGGGATGGCTTCTAGATCATGGACAGGCAATCACATCAGCCTGCCTGTTTTCAAGCACTGCAAAAGCCAAGGCAAGTTTCAATATAAAGGATTTTAAATAATTTAAGCATACCAAAGTGGTTTAGGTGGCCCAATACCTATTTCTCTCAAGTAAAGCTTCAAATCTTGGAAACAGCCTTTTTTGATTCGGGGGCAGGGCTGCATGTATCTGGCCCTCCCTAGGTCCTACCTGGTGGGAGTATCGTGCATTGGGCTGCCATTTTTGTATTCATTATGCTCATTTAAATACACACATAAACACATCAACTTGCATGTTCTTTCTAACCATTTTCTTTCTGATCTTGCTGCAGGAAATATCAATAGCATTAGAAACAAAATGTTTGGAAGATGTATAGCGGTGGTGGAAATCCATTCAGTTCAGAGTTCAGATCCATACCTTGTTTACAGTGAAGCATTATTCTTCGTTCAGCAATAGATAAGGCTCAACCACAAATATGACCAATTTATCTGGCAAATATATCTTACCCTTAATTTCACATAGATTACAAAATGTATGCAAGGTTCATTTATCTTATCCATCGATGTTATCTTCCCATCCCTTCGGAACCCTGTTAAACTTGCACCCATGTAATAGAAATTTGCTGAATAATTAATAACATGAAAATATGCTGGAAATTGTTTAAGCTTTTAAGGTTTGTTTGGTGTAGTCTTTATGGGACACCCCCCCGGGGGGAGACGCGCACACAAAATAAGTTGTGATATGAAGTACTTTTTGAAAAATTTGATGAAAGTGTTTAAATAGCCTGAAAGTATCTGCAAAGGAGCATTTAGTACTTGAAAATTTTTTTTAATTCTTATATCTCCTAGAAGTTTTATTTCGCAGCAAAGTAGCAGATAACAACTAGAGTATTTTTACTGCAAAAATAAACTTACAGGGCATATAAAACCAAAAAAAAAAAAAAATTCTAGTGCTGTGTGTTCTTTTGTGAATGCTTTTGAGGTATTTAAGCATCATATCCTGTTTTTTATGTTTAAATGAACTCTTCAATGGAATTTATTATTGATAAACATTGACATTCCAATGGTCGGGCAAGTGGTTTTCTTTTGAGTGAAGATATTTGTTTTTGGAAGGCAAAGATCGCTTTTAAACTGTTGCTGTTGTGCGTCATGTTTTTATTGGATTAACTTTTTTGAACATTTATGCATCCGTGCATTTAGCGAGAGAATGATGTAAAACGATGTAAGTGATAATTTTTCTTATAACATCAATATTCCAATCAAGAAAGTCAAATGAAAATACGAACTTCGACTCCGAGACAATGGTTGACTTTAATTCCCAGAAGAAATAAACGAGGTTCAAGACGTGAACTGTCAAATTTCAACCTTCTCAGTGACACGTGTAGAATTCTCATTGGATGATGAAACTTGACTATTTTCCCCCTCTAGTCACACCCAAACGGTGCCGAAGAAGCCGTATCTGATACGAGTCCTCCAACCCAGGCAGTTCTCTTCTAACAAAAATCGTCGTCTCGATCTCGTTTGTGTTCTTTTAGAATTACGATTGTACCCTCCTTCAAATTGCCCCATCACCGGCCTGATTCTGCTAGCCTGGACCCTCTGTCAGTCACAAACCGAACGTCATCACGTTCCCACTTAATGGTATTTTGGTCAATTCGGCATTTCCGTCTTATATATATCTGTATATATCGCGGCACTGTGAAGCATTGCGTGGGATTTTGATCGCGAAAGATTGGAGAGAGACTCAATAGGATTACCCAAACCAGAATGGTTGTCACTGATAAGGTATTCTTGCTTTTGCTTGTTTGTTTCTTGGGAAAGTTAATTCTTTTTATTGAGAAATATTTTTCTCTGTTGAGCGTGCAATCGAATGTTTTCTCTTCGATTTTTGATAGGTATTGTCGATATCGGTGATAGCTTGCTGACCTTAGGTTAGGGAGAGCCCTATTCTAGCTGTTTTAAACTTTGATTAAGTAGGGATATGTGAGGTTTGATTACGAGAAGCATACTGAGAAACGCTTACCGTGCGTTCCTGGCGATTAACTGATATGTTTCCTGTGTTTTCTGGCTCATACTGCATATTTGGTTTTGGATAGAAAAAACTGTGAAAACTCGAGAGGACTATCTGTGCTTGGGTACTCTTAATATCTGTATTTGAAATGAGTTCTTCAAGATCAATTTTTCCATCTCAGATTTCATCCTCTGATCCTATTGAAGATCCCTGTCTAGAAATAGACCATAGCCTTTTCTTTTATTTCTGGCCGCGGTTGGATATTTGGAATATTAAAAGGGCATCAATGAATTTTGGGAACTCAAAAGTAGAACAACAGACACAAAATTGAGTTGAGAAAGACAACCCTTTCTCTCGTAGGAAATAAAGTCTAATAAGTCTATTAACTGTTGAGTTACAAATGTCCAAGCTTGATTACCCCCAACCTATCATCTTCCAACACCCTAGTGCAGAATCGGGGTTTTTGTTGAAAAGTACAAAGATCTAGAGTCAGGTCATGAGACTACCTAACTGAAATTTTTGCACATTCATTAGCTAAAAAACACAAATTTGTCGTTTCGTTCCCCAAATAAAATTACAGCTACAACCATTCTATATCTGTATACAACAACAACAAGCCTTATCCTATTAGGTGGGGTCGGCTACATGAATCACACGACGTCATCATGCTCTGTCAACAACTCAGTCTTTAGATATGTTATTGACCAGGAGGTCTTGTTCAATGACCTCATTAAGTTTTCTTCTCGGTCTTTCTCTGCCTTCTTTTATGGGACTCTGTATTGTCTAATTTATCCTCCTCACCGGGGCTTCCAATGGCCTTCTCTGCACATGTCCAAACCATCTTAAGTGATTTTCAATCATTTTCTCTTGGATAGGTGTCACACTGACTCTTGCTCTGATATTTTTATTTCGAATCCTGTCTTTTCTTGTATGGCTACACATCCATCTCAACATCCTCATTTCTGCTACCCCAACTTTGTGCTCTTGTTTTACTTTTATTGCCCAACATTCACTACCGTACAACATTCTATATCTGTATAATTTTAGTCATTTCTGTATGAAAAATTACAAGTCCCTCCTCATGCAGTTTTCAAGGGAAAAAGTTATAAAACATTCTCCGCCTGCATTTTTTAATGGTGAAATGGTAACAAGCTTATTTTGGATGGAAAAAAATGCTAAAACCTATCCTCGTTACCGTTGTTTATAATTCTAGGCCATCTTACTGTGATGGGATTTTTAGAAGAAAATTTGCTATTCGTCTCTTACAGCTATTTACAACTACTCAATATTCTGATTACATTTTAATGGTAATCTCTTGACTAGTTTGGTTGGATAAGAAAACTTATGCCTAAAGTTCATTTATAAGAAACTTTCACCTATTCTCTTAGTTGATGCAAATCTAGGACATGAAATGAACTATATCCTTATCCAACAACATCTTAAACATATTTACTTCGTCCGAAAATACAATTTTATACTTGTGCCCATTTTGTTCACAGAAAGGATGAGAATGAAATATAGTAGCATTGTCCATAATCATTTTTTTTGGGGGGTGGGGAGTATGAAACTTAATATCATCAAAGCCAGTTAACAGAATTTCTATTAATTCAGCGATTAGTTAATCATTTTTTTCCCCCAAAAAAGGAGTTGAAACTTCTTCACTTCCTGCTTGGGTTCAATTTTCTGGTTGGTATGGGTTTTCATCTTTCATGGTTGCTAAACACAAGAGGAACCATTTTTGAAATTTCATTTCTCACAGGATCCTCGAGAGGAAGTTATTCAAGCATGGTATATGGATGATAATGATGCAGATCAGAGATTGCCACATCACAAAGAACCCAAGGAGTTTGTATCCTTGGACCAGCTTGCCGGTAAGCATCTCTGGAGCACGTGTTTGTTTTATTTATCTGCTGATTGAGAGTTTTACACTCCCCCTAAATCACGTTAATGTTTCAGAACTTGGAGTTCTCAGCTGGCGGTTAGATGCTGATAATCATGAGACAGACCCAGAGCTGAAAAAGATTCGTGAAGATCGTGGTTACAGCTACCAGGTTTGCTATGCGTATTTCATTAATTAATGCTTGAATTATAGCAGTAAAGCCACAAAATATTGCTGTGGTTAAAGCACCAAAAGCAGAGAATTCCTTTTCCCTGTATTACTAACCGTATGCACTACATGATACGTGGAAAATGTCAAAAAAAAAAAATCCCTAAGAAAACAAACATTTCATTTCAGTTGACACCCTTGCATCTGGATACCCCTATTTATGCCATAAATAGAGGTGTGGATGGTTTTCCTACGAATATAAAATCCTCAGCGTCCTTTTCGGCAAATTCTCTGAGCACACCTTAATTCCATTATGACACTGTGTTTGGGAGGCCGTAGCATTTTATTCGTGGTTACAGCTACCAGGTTTGCTATGCGTATTTCATTAATTAATGCTTGAATTATAGCAGTAAAGCCACAAAATATTGCTGTGGTTAAAGCACCAAAAGCAGAGAATTCCTTTTCCCTGTATTACTAACCGTATGCACTACATGATACGTGGAAAATGTCAAAAAAAAAAATCCCTAAGAAAACAACATTTCATTTCAGTTGACACCCTTGCATCTGGATACCCCTATTTATGCCATAAATAGAGGTGTGGATGGTTTTCCTACGAATATAAAATCCTCAGCGTCCTTTTCGGCAAATTCTCTGAGCACACCTTAATTCCATTATGACACTGTGTTTGGGAGGCCGTAGCATTTTATTCGTGGTTACAGCTACCAGGTTTGCTATGCGTATTTCATTAATTAATGCTTGAATTATAGCAGTAAAGCCACAAAATATTGCTGTGGTTAAAGCACCAAAAGCAGAGAATTCCTTTTCCCTGTATTACTAACCGTATGCACTACATGATACGTGGAAAATGTCAAAAAAAAAAAAATCCCTAAGAAAACAAACATTTCATTTCAGTTGACACCCTTGCATCTGGATACCCCTATTTATGCCATAAATAGAGGTGTGGATGGTTTTCCTACGAATATAAAATCCTCAGCGTCCTTTTCGGCAAATTCTCTGAGCACACCTTAATTCCATTATGACACTGTGTTTGGGAGGCCGTAGCATTTTATTCTTTGGTTTATTTTGACCGTGAAAATGATCTGCTGCTGCTGATGCCAAATATCTTCTGTTTGATGATCATCTTTCTCTTTATTTTCACTTCCTGCAGGATGTCTGTGAGGTTTGCCCCGAAAAATTGCCTAATTATGAAGAGAAGATCAAAAGCTTTTTTGAGGAGCATCTCCACACTGACGAGGAGATTCGCTATTGCGTTGCTGGAAGTGGTATGTCCATATTGATGCTTGATTCTGACCTTTTAGTTCCCAAGGACCTATCTCATTCAGTTGCTAATTATTTACTCTATTCCTTAGGTTATTTTGATGTCAGGGATCGTAATGATGCTTGGATTCGTGTATGGGTAAAGAAAGGAGGGATGATTATCTTGCCTGCTGGGATTTATCATCGATTTACTCTGGATGAAAGCAACTATATCAAGGTATCGGTTTCATATGGACATAGTTTTACCAAATTTGCTTGTCATCAATATGATAATGTGTACCCCTTAACCCTTTTAGTTTATCCATCCTATCATGTGCGTTTGAGAATAATGTTCAGAGTAGCTTACTTATATACCCTGTGCCTTCTGGAAAACATTTCTATTGGTGTGGTATGGGGTCTTGTATATTAATAATTTTCAAGAAACAAATATCCGGTTGCTGAACTTTTTATGAGTTGGGTTCTTGTAGATATTTTTTGGAGAGAAAGTCCTAGCTTGAGGTTGTTTTTGTGTTTAGAGATCACTGTGGTACAACTTGTCTACCTTATACATGGTAAAACTATTCTTATCGTCCGAAAATACGCCAATTTTGTTCTTGCATAAAGCTTCATTAGTTCTCTCTGGTAATTTGTTTAGGCATCACACTGAAGTTTTAGATGACAAACACACATATTTCACTTTACATGTTCTTGTTTATGTTAAGTTTTTCTCACGTGATTGTAAATTTGCAGGCTCTTCGATTCTTTGTTGGTGAGCCGGTATGGACTCCATTTAATCGTCCACATGATCATCTTCCTGCAAGGTATGATTGCGTATGCCAGTCAAATGATGGGAAGTACAATCACATAGGAGACTTATATGTGATTTCAAAATTTGCAGGAAGGAATATATGAAGTCTTTCGTGGAAAGGGACGTGGCCAACCATGCTGTTGATGCTACGGCCTAAAGGTCTACGTCTGCTGTTAGTATAATCATTATAATTAATATTGGGTGTGAAAAAACCTGAGGTTTTGCTGTTAAAAATAAGGACTGAAAAAAATGTGAGCTCATTAAATAAAGATGCCTATTGTCTGTGTTTGAGCGACACTTGGGATGTGATATTATGTACATACCTGATTGATGCTGGTTATATTTTGCCGGTTACTGGATAATTTGGGAAGGTCCCTGTCGTTGTTCTGTTCCTGTTATCTTCATCTTGATCGTCAGCGTTCATGACCTAGGGCCGCTTTGGATTGGTGGTTTAAAAAAAAAAAAAAGGTAGTTTATGTTCAATTTAACGTTTAGAAAAGTTGGATTAGACAAAAATTAGTTCGGTAATGTGGTTTGTATTCGGATTAATTTTTATAAAAGTTAGTTTTTAGAGATGAAAGTTGTGTGGATTATGATTGAATAAGTAATTTTAGTTTATAAAATATTCAAAATGGGTATGTTTTTAATTAACTAATGAAAAATACGAATTTACAGAATATAGTAATTTTAAATTATTTTAATAGGAAGTTAAATTTAATGAATCAAATATATTTAAAAAAGAAATTATAGTTATGTGAACATTTTTAAACCAAATAATATTATATAATGAGATATATTCTACACAATTTATGTAAATAAAAAATAAAAAAATAATATTTAAAATTAAAAATATCATAAAAAGTTGTTAAAATTTTTTTCATTTAAGAGAACATAAAGTTATTTATAATAGGAAAAATTTCAAAAAAAGTCTCTCGAATATATGAAATCCCAGATTGGGTCCTGGAATTTCCAAAATGACAGAAAAGGTCAGTGACCCAATCTGTCATTTGTGAAATTAAAACCAATTGACAATTTTACTCTTGGTTAAGTAAAAGTGAGTACTTATTCTCTACACAAATCTAGGTAACGCTTACATTGTTCTAGTGATTACAAGATTAGTTGTAGTTAATAATAAGGTACCTGACTATGAAAAAGTGAGTAGTTATTCTCTACACGAATCTAGGTAATACTTACATTATTCTAGTGATTACAAAATTAGTTGTAGTTAATAACAAGACACCTGAATATAAAAAGTGAGTAGTTATTTGCTATATGAATCTAGGTAATGTCTAAACCCTTCTAATGATTCCTTAAATCATTGTAGTGAATGAATACAAATGAGGGTAAAATTATCAGTTCCTCTTGATTTGCCAAATGACAGATTGGGTCACTGACCCTTTCTGTCATTTTGAAAATTTCAGGACCCAATCTGGGATTTCATATATTCAGGGACCTTTTTCTGGAATTTTCCCTTTATAATATGATAATTGTTTTAAAGACATTGTATCATTAAAAATTTTGAAAATGAAAAAAACCAATGTGAGGGAGAAGACTGAAGAGGAAGAGGGCAAATTCGGTATTCAGTTTAGTGGACCTGACATTAGACAAACGCACGATATATAGAGGAATTCTTGGATACTCTGAGAGTACCACCTAATCTAACACTGTCCAGTAGAAACGCTCCAGCTCATAAAAGTTTAATCTACGTGTCAATCTTCTCATTTTCATTAATTTATTGTTTTAAAAAAATAAACTGCCTTGGGTATGGTGATTTCCTCTACTGCCCTCTTCCTCCCTCTTCCTCAATCCCTCTCCTTGTCTTTGTTCATCCTCAACCGTCCCTTCTCCCATCTGCTTCCCCACTTTTTCTCTTTTGCAGATATTGCCGTTGGAGATTTCGAAACTGAGGAGAGCAAGGAAGAAAATCATCAAGTTCGAGCTTGATTTGTCTAGGAAGATTTGAGATCTGCAGCTGGGAAACTTTGGCTATCATCCATCTGGATGGGACAAGAGCATATACCATTAGCGATGGCGAGCAAAATCTTCCTCATCTCCGACTTGATCTTGTCCTTGTCGACGGTGCCGTTGCCGCCGCCGACGAACTTCTCGAAGATGGAGTTGTATAGCTGAAATGGTTTTAATTTGGGAAACCGAGACTGTGATTCCTCTTGTATTATTACTATCCTACTCATATACTGTTTCTTCCTACCATGCCTGAGAACTTGTTCTGTTTCGTAAAGAATGGAAGGAGATGGGTTTTGCTCGACGCCATATCTTGCTTGTAATATTGAAGAATGAACATGGAAGCAGGAAAAAAATCTATCGATGGGTTCAGATATGTAACTTGCCGTAGTCCTGGTGGAGAATCGGCGGCGGCGGCGTAGTCTGACGAGAAAATGAGAGGAGGAAGAAAGAGAGTTTGAGAAGGAACGAAGGGGAAGGGGGAGGGATTAGAGAGAAGGGGGCAGTAATGGAAACCAATATAACTAAGGCAGTTTTATTTTTTTAAAACAAGAAATAATGGAAATGAATAGGATGACACGTAGATTAAACTTATATGAGTTGGCTCATTCCCACTGGACAGAGTTAGATTAGCTGGTACTCTCAGAGTACCCAAGAATTCCTCCGAATATATAAGCTATAAGCATTTTTTACCACCTTTTGCTTTTCACATGCTCAGGCGGTGGTTTGACACCATTAATAATACTTTTAAAAAATATTTTTTCATAAAACAAGATAAATTCTTTTATTATGTTTATTTATATACTATAAAAGTATTTTTAATCTGGCTTTTGGCCTAAAAGAAAAATGACTAAGGGTCTGTTGGATGACATCTAAAGCCATGATTTGAAAGACAAAACCATAGTTTGGATAAAATGCTATCTAAACAGCCTCCAATATTTTGAAACCATGGTTCAGGGGCAAATCATGGTTTTAACCTCTAAAACCATGGTTCCGTGGGAAAGCAAAATTTTCTCGCTTGATGTTGAAGTTTTGATGTTGGGTTGTCAAAAATTATCTGGACAAAAAATCCCCTTGACTTGCTCGTGTTGCTGGTGTGGAGGGATGGTCTCCAGTTACTTGTTCCAGACACAGCAAGAGAGTGAGCCTGAAAGAATCATAAAGAGGAAAAGATAATTACTATAATAAGTAATAAATGTTTTTTAGTGTGTGTTTATTTAATTTTTGTCAAAAAATATTATGGTATTTTTCATATTTATAATCTTTAAATAAAATAATATTTGTATGTTGGTAAAAAATATTTATTTTTTCCAGAAAATTTTTAATCTTATATTTTATAAATATATATACATATGTTAATTATTTATTAATTATATTTTCTTATATACTATTAATTATTTTGGTTAAAAAATATATTATTTACAATTTTGTCCTTCAAATTAAATATCTCCTCCGGTCCTTAATATAGGACCCAATTCTTGAGTTGGTTTTGGTCCTAAATATAAGACCCCTTTCTCATATTTATCAATTTTCTCTAAATTACCCCTGTGGATACTCCTCAACCATGATCAAGTAAAAAAGAGAGATGGGGTATTAAGAAAGATGATTATGGTATTTTAGGAAAAACATGTCACATTTCTTATAATTAACTAACTTACCCCCTATTTCCTTAATCTAATCAAATTAGTTAAATGGGTCTTATATTAAGGACCGGAGGAGTATTATAAATTATAAAAATCTATATTTTATGTATTATCATATTAACTTATGCCCTTTTTAGTAATTTATACATATAAAAAGTGCTTCTGATAATAACTATCCAACACTCCTTACTTCTCAGAATCTATTCTTCACAAAACCTATTCTCTCTGGAATCTATTCTCCAGAAGCTATTCTCAAAACCATAATTTGGTTTTATCCAAACCTTCTAAAAAGTCAATCAAACTTCTCCTTCAATATACAAACTGACTTTTCCACTTACAATTAAACTTTGCTTGTTGGACCGCTGCACCAAACACACACCCATTCTTCGTGTCCTCTTTCTCTACCCAAAAAGAAAAAAAACCAAAATAACAATAACAATAATAATCCACATGATAAAGGGAAAAATAATCCACAAGAAAACTCGAATTCGAAGATATATGAAGGAATTCAATTTTTTTTTTTACAAGTTTGAGTTAAATAACATAATTTGTCCAGTAATATGGAGTTGTCCAGATAATATGAATTTTGAGGATCCTTTGTATTTAATTTTTTATTTGAGATTTATGGATAATTTTTTTAAATAATGACAGCTTAGTGGAGAGTATGAGGGAAGTTTAACATAGTGAAAGAAAATGAAAGAAGAGTTTGGCACTATATGATAGGAAAAAATGTGTTTGTATGGGTTAATTAGAGGTTTTTTTATGGATGTATATTTTTTTTTTGGTTGCCTACCCACAATTCACCGGAGTTTTGTTCCGACTACATTTGAATCCGTCGCATCGCGTACCAGGCCATGGTGGGTAAGTCTTCAATGGGAATTTCTATAAGCTGAGGCTCGAACTCGAGACCTCGCTTAAACGGTATCAGCAGCTTACCACTTGAACCAACCCCTGTTGGTTGTATGTGTGATATTGATGGTTAATGAATTATTTCATCACTGACCCCTCCAATTTGGATGGATATAAAAACTTGATCCAGGATGGCTCTATGAAAGCTTGAGAGAGCACCGCACAAAACTAACTAATAGAGGGGGATTCAGCAGTCCCATGCGACCTTCATCTACAAGAGTCCTAACTTGAGAAGGACAAACTATCTAAAAGGGAGAACAAATTAATTATTAATCCCATCTTCGCTGCTCTGTTTTGCTCTCTGAAAATACAATGCACTTGCAATTGGTCACTCAACTTCATCATGCTTTGAATATGCCAGACCGCCTCCTGTTTTAGCTCTATTTGAGAGAATCATGTCTATTAAATTCTTAGCACCATATTCGAGAGCTGCAGCAATGTAACAGTCATAACAGCAGCATAGAGTCATTGGAAAAAAAGAAAAGAAAAAATCCCCAAAACAAAATTGTCTGAATATATGAAATATATGAAATTCCAATTTTAGACGGTTAAAGGAAGTGAGGCTTGAACTAGTATTTTCAAAATGTTATGAAATTACCCAGATGCTCTTCCCAAGAGTTAGTTAAAAATTCAATTTGATTTTAAATATGAAATTATAATTTATTTTGTCTTCAATATTTATCCATTTTATCCTCAAATAATTTCTATAATGATTGTATATGTTAAGTAGTTTTCATTAAAAGTAGTTTAATACCATGATTAATATGAATATTTTAAGAAAGACAATATTTATTTATTAAAAAAAAACTAACTTAACTATTCTTTAATTAATTATTTAGTTCTTATATTAATAAACCTGTGTAGTATCTTGTAATAAAGGAA